ATTTTGAACAAAAATTGATCGTTTTAACGATTTTGAGCCGGTTCTATTCTTTAAACGGTCTAAATAGAGAACCGAACTGTAGTGGTTATCAATGCCGGAACATTTAATGAATCCTGCAATATTTTAAATGTTTCAATGACTAAATTACCCTTACATTTTTGATAATCCGACAAGAAAAGTCAATAACTCAATGCATTCGAATTGTGTCTAAACTAAATGAAGGGAGAATGGTCCTAATTTGAAAAATCCATTGTATTGTTTCATTTATTTTGCGATTAAAATATCACCGGAGGGATCCGAACAAAATAGACAAACATCCAAATCAATTCACTTTATTGAACCAACCACGCAAACGCAATGTATGCCCTATGACAACTGTGGGCCCAAATGTTCTTTAATAGAATGTTTGGCACGAGTGAAAGGGTTTGACTTTAATTATTATTTTTAGGTATGTATTTTTTTTTGGGGGGTTTAATTATTGTTTTTTTAATTCAATTATCTCTTTTTAAGTAGAGTTTATCATTTTTTTTTTGTGATAAAAGCTTACTACCAATCTGTGTTTTTCTACTTTGGTACAGTAGCAAAATTTTATTTCAATACCCGGGTGATAAAAATTAGGTAATAAAAAAAAGTTGGATGGAAAATTAAGGTAATAGAGAGTTTTGTTTATTTTTTGTTTGGTTAGGAAGTAAAATAAAAAGGAAAAAAATTGAGGTGAAAAAGGAATTCACCCCTGCCCACCATTTTTTATCTGCCCAAAAATCAGCGGAAACACAAGATGGAAAACTTGAAATGAGGTCCATGAGTTTTTTGGTCTCTTTCTCTTCAATATTTTTATGCTACACATGCTAACAGACATTTATTAGTTTTTCCTTGTGGTATGCTTGATAGTGATGAAATGGGTTGACGTACTTTCCATTTCCTCCTATTTTTCCCTTCTAGCCCAACAAAAGAAAATGTCTTCTTCTTTTTTATTTTCCATCCTCCAGATTTTCCTTCATTATTTTTTGAATACCATACATTTATTTTTTTCTAACAATGCACAATGTGTGTTGCACGTAAATAAATTTAAACAATACTTATTTATAAAAAAATGTGATTATATGTGTAATTAAATTAAATAATAAATTAGGTGCAAAATAATTAAACCGTATTTTAGTTATTGTTAAATTTAATTATTAATTTATTATGTAAGACTTTGGATATATAATCTTTCATTTATTTAAATATCTCTTTGACTCCTTTAGCCATTTGCACATTTAATTATAATAGCAATACACAACATGCATAGCACGTGAATTATTTTTATACACAAAAATTAATAAAACATATTAGCTATATTTGTATTTGAATAAAATATCATCGCAAATTTATCAAATTTAAATTTTATTACTCATATTTTATTATAAGATTATGAAAACTTTGTATATTTCATACGAGATGAGTAATATTAGATTGATAGAGTTTTGACGGTTTTTTGAACACTTTATTGCAAATACAATGATGCATATTTTTTCTAAGAGTAGTATAGTCAACAAATTTTTTTTATAGAAGCCGATATTTCTACATATAGAATATATAATTAAAAGAAATGTTATAGATAGTTTGGAGATTTAAATATATAAGGATATGATGATAATTTAAATATTTATTTGTGAAAGGATGGAGTGATCTTTGCATTCCTTTATAAAGGTAAAATAGAGATTAAAATTTTTTTTATTTTAAGGTAATTTTATTAGTAGTATAGATATAGATTATATAATTATTAAATTTTATTTTGTTAAATAGATTTATTAGATTGAGTATAATATTATTATATTATTGTATGTAACAAAATAAAATATAACATATATTTAACTGTGAAATTCAATATGATAATTACATGTGTATAATAATTTAAAATGTATAAGATTTTTTTCATATAAATATAGAAAATTGTATGTAATTAAACTACTAATAAATGAGTTCAAAAGAATTTAAAAGTCTTTATAAAAGAGTTCAAAACAAATTGAAAGTCAAATATGAGTCAAAAATAAAAATTAGATGAAAGTATAAAGGTGGGTATAATTGACTTTATTATAATAATTAAGGATAAAATAATAAATAAAAAAAATTTCACAAATACTGATATTTATAAATAGTATAGAATAGATATAGATATATATAAGGTCATTTATATATTTAAAGGTAATATTTTCCCACATTTTTATTAAATCCAAACCAAACAATAACAAAATTAAGTTCTCCCACTTTTTTTTTTATCACTCCTACCAAATAACTAGGGTAAAAAATAACTTTATTTCCTTCAACAATAAAAAGTCTATTTTTTTTACTTCAAAATTTTTGGGATCTAATGGGTTGACATAATAATAGCTTCACCACTTAATAAACCCTTGTTATAACTCAAGGGTTTGAGTAACCAATGGATGGGTATACCCCATAGGGCCAATGTTCTAAGATTTATCCCTTATGTGTAAAGGTGGCTTTGCACAATTTGTTTTTACAAATTTACTCATAAGATTTTTTTTATGTGTATTGTACACATTAGGCTCGTTTGGAAAATCTATTATAAGTGGATTAAATATTATATTGTATTATTTTTTATTTAATCGAGTCTAATATTTTATTTTGTAGATAAATTTGATTCCGTATTAATTTTAAAAATGTATAATAATCATACACTTATCGTATATTTTTAGTATCATAAACTTATATTATAGAGGTATTTCAATACCAACAGAAGAGGTGGTATTATAATTCCACTTAAATGTATTATCGTACACATTTACAATTATAACTCAATAACTGATAAAATCAAGTTGTCATCTACATAACAAATACTTCGACGTATTGATTGAACGCATTTTTTATTAATCAACATTAATACGATAAAATAATTTACTAACCAAACAATCAATTAGATTAAATAACTACTATCTAACGCTTATGTTATCTATTGTGAAATACTAAATAAAATTAAGTATTATTCTAATACTCTAATCTTAATTTTTATTCATCTATATTATATTAGACTGAATTATATTTTTCAATCCACCTATTTCTATTACGACAACCAAATGAGCCCATCATGTACAATAAATAAACATCACAACAATACATTAACATCATATCTAATTAATTGAGTTTTTGACACAATTATATGACCACCGACAAGCAGTTATTATCTCATTTTAACAATCAACTATTATCACAGTTGATGATGCACAAAATATATTTATATAAGATCAACAGTCAAATATGTGATAAAGTGTAATTAATGAATAATTAATAGAGTAATCAATGACAATAATGTAAATATCGAATCAACACACAGATATATAGTGGTTCGGTCTGGGTGATCTATTCCACTCCAGAAAACGGAAATGGTGGCATAGAGACCTTTATTGATAAAATAAGGTGAATGGAAGAGAGAGCAATGAATAGCTCTGGGAGTGGTACAATAGTTAAGAGAGAGAAAAACTATGTGTGGGTAAAGAAATGTGGAGAGATCTCAAGAGGTATTAAGGAGTGTCTCCAGAGGTATTCAAAGATGCCTTCTCATGTAGAGAATCCTTACAATTTATAGGCACAAAACCTTGGTTAAGGCGGTGATATGAGTGCAAATTTACTAATTCTTTGAATAGCTACAAAAAGGTAAAGTGTCATAAAAAGTTATTTTGATCATTGAGAGTGAGTATTCCGATAATTGTTCTCCACGTATTCTAATTCTTCTTAGACTCTTCACACCTTGGGTTGGGTCGAATTCATGAATTGGATTTGACTCGCCTTTTAGTTGACTTGGTCTTACTTGGTTTATTGGGCATGATCCAGTTAGATTTGGGCTTATCAACAGTAAATCTACTTTACTACGTGAGTGAGAGATCAAAACTAAGATGCTGTCTCATAAACCCTTTCAGAAGCGTGGTGTTTCATCACACATCCCCTTTATAGTCTGAAGGAGATCTATTCATGCAAGAGGTACGAATTTGCACAATTCACCCTCTTTCTTAGGCGCGCACACACACGCACACACATAAAACTTGGGTTAGTCTGTATATACATGCAATACGAAATTGCATGTTAATGGAATTAGCAAACAAAATCTAATTAGGAATTTCAATGGAATTTTAGATAATACAATGTTTTCTAAGGATAATTTTGAATTTTTAGAAGATTTTTTGTGACATCATATTGACTATTTGGACTACCAAAAACAGCCATTAACGGCAAGAAGTGTAAGTGAAGCCGGCGTATAAAGTATAAGAGAATGCAGTAAAATTTTAGATAATAGACGATGTCCTTGAAAATATAGTAAACTAGTCTCCATGAAGTTTTGCCTATATTTTATTATAAGAGTGATGAATTTTTAATTGTAATCCATCACTACATACAAAAAAGATTACTAGAAAAATTGATAAAGTAGTATGCATTTTAAACGAGTGACATATTTTGCTTCAAAATCTTCCATTCAGAGATGGTGATGCATATGCCTCTCTCAGCTTTTCCAACACTTATTTTTTTACTGGGAGAGTTTGCTTCGAAAAACATTTTCATATAAGGTGATGCATATGCTTCTGTCAGCTCTTCCAAAAATTAATTTTTTTTCCCACCAATGAAAAAATCAAAAGAAAGAAAGACACAAAAATCGATTGGAAAAATCATAGAGCTATCAAAGAGTCAGATTAAATCCAAACAATACTTCAAGTTGCTATATTAGATTTGGAGTCCCTTAATTATAACCTTTGTGCAGTTACTGTTAGAATGGTGTAGAATTTTTTTTTTTTTGAACAAGTAGAATGGTACTCTAAATCCAATTAGCTAGGGTGGTTTTGCTATGTAGACAAAGGGAAATCAACCACTAGTTTGGGCCATTTTCATTCTAGAAAACAAGTTTTCCAACTCATCTCATAGCTACGGGTCTCAGTCAACCCATTGTTTATCTTATAACCCCAAGCCACCAAAGATGTACTTACAAAATGTTCAAACTTTCAACCCCCCATCGAAGCCTCTAGACCTTCAAAATTCCATACTCCCTCTTAAAAGCCCCCCAATCCTCCAATCCTTGCTTACTTCATAACCTTTTTAACTTTCTCTCTCTCTCTGCAAGGACACAAAAACCAAGCAGCACAAGGGGTTGGCACAAAAACATGGGCACTTTGGTGGGGCATGTAGCACCTGGATTTGGTTTCTTTGTCATTGGGCTATGGCACCTGCTTAACCATATCAAACTCTATTATCTCCAACCAAAATCGTACACCTCTTTGCCATGGTTTCCCACTTCCAAAATAAGGTACTTAGAGCTCTTCTTCATCATGGGAGGTTGCTCCATGTCCATAGCCATGGAGCTTTTCATTGGCCCCAAACGACATCAACCGTTTGACCCCGATGGCACCATCCCCTCCAACCATCTCCACAACTTTGAGCACTCCAACATATCAGTAACTTTCTTTGTTTATGCAGCTTTCTCTCTCCTCCTCGACAAAATTGGGCCTCCGGCCCAATACAGCCTTTCCCAATTGCTTGGAGCCATTGCATTCGGCCAACAACTCCTCCTCTTCCACTTCCACTCTGCTGATCACATGGGTGTTGAGGGCCGATACCATTGGCTTCTTCAAATTGTCATCTTTTTATCTCTCCTCACCACCCTTATTGGCATAGGGTACCCTAACAGTTTCTTGGTCAGCTTTGTGAGGTCTCTGAGTATTCTGTTCCAAGGGTTGTGGCTCATAGCCATGGGGTTTATGCTTTGGACACCAGAATTAATACCTAAAGGTTGCTTCATGAACTTGGAAGAAGGTCACCAAGTTGTTAGATGTCATGGCAATGAAGCGCTCGAGCGTGCCAAATCACTAGTGAACATCCAATTCAGCTGGTACTTAATCGGAGTAACGATTTTCGGGGTATCGCTTTATTTGATTTTGCATCAAATTTATGGCAAAAAGATCGAATATGAATCACTAGCAAAATATGAAGAGCAAGAAGAGGGAAATTATGATGTTGAAGCCCAAAAAAACAGCAAACTCGGCGAGTCAAAGAGTTCTGTTCACATGGGAAAAGTGTTTGCGCCAATGGACATAGAAAGGTAAAGAGAGAAAGCAAAAAAGAAGAGCTAGATATGATTAGGGGTGTGTCAAAATTAGGTAAATGGGTGTCCACTTTGTTTAATAAAGCTTACAATAATGAAGGCTTAATAAAAGCAATGTCCTATGGGAAGAAAAGTGTGAGGGGAAAGGGTGTCATATTGTTTAGTTTGCATATATTGATGGCTTGTAGAATTATAGGGTGAGCTAATGGTGTTTGTATGTAATAGAGGAAATTAAGTATAGGGGAAGTTTGTTAATTGTTTCTTGAAAGTCTACAATTTGTAAAGGTCTTTGTTATATTTGATTTTAGAAAAAAGCCTATTTTTAGTTGAATGGATTTTAGTAAATTCGGCTTGATTGACTTAATTGAAATACATAGAAGTATTGAATCGTATATCATCCACTGTCCCTAATCTCAAAACTCATAAGTTTAACCGATTCATTTGTTTAGGAAGTGATCGTGTCTATTCGAGATTTGCATTGCATTCATGAGTTTAAAAAATGTATGATTTAGATAATCCCTTAATATCAAAAATCAAAACAACTATTGTGATTCCTTTTTACTGCTAACATAACATGATAATGTTGAATGTCACCTTTGAACGGTTGCAATCACAAATGAACTTCATGTGACCATTAGAAGCAAAGACCTATTTGATTCTGTCAAGGAATGAGATAAGCTGGCCCGCCAAAAAAAACATAGGCTGGCCCCATTGTGCCTTGAACTTCAACCTGATGAATTTTCTAAACAAATTGAATTTGAAAATGACTTCTGCCACTTAGAACGGCAAATACTTACAATAATATAATAAAATTTGATAAAAAATTTGGTAAACATAATATTACTGAATATAATAAGGTCTGCTTGGATAATTTTTTGGTACTTTTAGATCTACTTTTTATCTAATAAAACTTTGACATATGTAAAGTTTCCTAATTTTTGTAATTTTTAAATATTTTATTATATTTACAATCAATGACTACAAATTGTTTAAATCAAAATTAATTAACTCAATTAACTTAAGTATGGTACCCATATTTTTTGGATACTATAGACATATAGCAATAAAAATATTTGGATTTGACTTTGGTAGTGAAGGAGCTATGATACTGAAGTTTATAATTTTTGTCGTTTACCATCTAAGTTTTTATGGTCTAGTTACAAGTAAAAGAAAAAAAAATAGAATCAATCCTAAAAAATTATAACTTTTTGGGGCTATCTTACAATTATTATGATCAAGTTATAATTTTTAGTTTGCAATGGTTCCTAACAATTTTATGAGGTTTGCAATGGGTCTTAACAAATTTAGGATCATCCTAAAATTATTAGGGTCAATCACAAATATTTGTGATCGATTGCAAAAATCCCAAAAATTGTAAATGACTCCCCATAATTATACAAAAAATTCTAAAAAGTTGAATAAAGTAACACGGTTTCTATTTTTTATTTTATTTAGTGCATTAGTATTTGCTAAATATTTGATGAAAATGGTGGTAACAATGGTACGGTATAAATTGTGTCTGACAAGTGTTGCCAAGCTACCACAGTTCTCCGTAAAGGATAAGAAAATTTTGATGTAGGCCATGCTGTTCTACAACTAATTCTGCTCATACATGAATGAGATGGAGCCTGTTGGAGTATAATTAAAGCACCTAAAGGGGCGGAATTCAAAACAAGAAGCTAAGTGGATGTTTGATTCGGAAATAAAAGAGAATAGGATTTATCAATACGTTCCAATTCTATGTATGGAGCTCAATCAAATTTGGGGCTCTGGAATGTATGCGGTTGTCCGACTTAAATTTTTAATCCTGCGTTTGATTTGGCATCGGATTAAATGGATGGAGTACTCATATTCGATTTGGTCAAATTGTTTGCTAACCTTTCTTGAAGGGTAAATTATTATTATTGTTATTATTATCTGCAAGCTACCTCTTCGGATCCCCTTATCCCCCAAAACGTGTCCCACCTCTATGAGAAAGACTTATCCTAAATGGGGTCCGGATGTAACATCCTAACACAGGATAATTAGGCAGTGGGCAGGGGTGGAGTAAGAAAAAAATTTTATGCTGAACAAATTAGCATGGTTTAATTTTTTTTTAATACACCATAAAAGTTCATAAATTTATATTTATTAAAATTATATTTAATACTTTTTAAACATAGAAGATTAAAAAATGATATATATATATATATATAACATGAACAAGAAAATAATAATTAAAATTTCTTAACGAGAATGCGACTAATTATTATTACTTACAATTGATCCGGTATGTTTTTATTATTTGAAAGAGTTACAAATTAATTTTATCAACAATATTTTTTTTATATACAAAATCGCGGTAACAATCTTTCATTTATGATCTTATAGTTTATTACATAACGATATACATTTTTATAGAATAACGAAATAACCTTATAATTTTAAAAAATTATAAAATAACATCAATATGTCCAAAACATATTCGAACATGTCTAAAAATTAACAATTATATTAGTTGTACTTAATTTGAGATTTAATTGATAGACGTCCAATGATTTGTGACCATTGTATAAACTATAGAGTTTATTAAATATTAAGACATATCGAAATATATTAGGTCCTTACATTAGATTTTAATAACGTTGTTTAAAAAGTTAACAATCATTCAGGTAGGGATTTATTCAAATAAATATCATTAGAACACAATATTATGGTAGACATAATTAAATCTATCTAAATTTTATTTCAAAAAATACATGATTAATATGAAGCATTAAAAAAAATGAGGGGGGCATGTGAGGGGTGTCAATTTTTTCCGTTAACATGAACCCGACTCGAACTGAATCTAACACGAACCCGAAAATAACATGATTAATTGACACGAGTAATAAATGAGTCAAATTAGGGATCGGCACGAATAACATGATTAATGAATATTGTAGATAGAAAATAATTATTTAACAAGTATTGTAGATAAAAAATAAGAATTTTATAATTTTTTAAATCGTATTATATTAGTTGTTCTCAAATTAAATAATTTTTATTTCGACACGTATCGAAAATGATATGACCAAAAATGACACGATATGAAAATGATACGACATGATACGATTGACACCCCGATGTGCCCACCCTAAACCAAGTGTGGCTACCGTCTCCGCCCCGACAGTGGGATGAAATTAGTCAAATACCATCCTTTTCTCCTTGAACCAAACATACCGCCAACTAGAGGAAGATGAAGTGGCTATAATTGGTCAATACTTAGCTTTCTTTTATCTCTTCCCCAAAAAATTTTAATACTCTTACTATGTATTTAGTCAAAAAAATGGCTAGACCAGGCCTTGTGTTAATCCTTAATCCAGAAAGAAACTGCAAGTCTTCACAATACTTCTAGATAATTACTGAAAGAACTAGGAATTAGAATTCGCTGGTTCTATGTCAATAACTGAAGGAAACAACATGAAAGGACAAGAGGAGAGAACAACGAATATCCCAGTAATCGTAAGCCAATCTCAATTTGTTGTAAGGTTCCAAACGTTTTGTTCGGCTTTTTTGGCAGCCAAATGCAGCACAAATCTTTTGATTCATTATTTTTGACACGACATATTATCATAATATGATTGATTTGTGTTACATATGAATTTTTTTATTTTGATATGATAAATTCATAACCCATTTAATTGCTAATACAAGTATCCTCTAAAAAAAATTGGTATTGTAAGAATAATTTTTTTTTTGTAATTGATTTTTAGTTTTTGATCATTTATTTAATATCGTATTATTTTTTGTATGAAATTGGTTTTGATTTGATTTTGCCAAGATGGAGATCAAATATGTTTTTAATTTATGGGAGCATGTGAATAGTTAAGTTGATTGAGAGAGATATAGAGAGAGAAGGAGAGAGAAGTGGTCTTAAGTTTTGCACAATCTGTTTTATGTGTTATCTAAAAATTATTCAAATTCAAGAACAACATGGAATGAGACCCCACGATACCAAACTAACGTGATTTTAATGTAACACAACACTACTCAATCAATATTCAAAGTGTCTTAATTTTCTTTTATAGTTAGGTGATGGTTAAAATAAAACTTGGTTGCAGTGACAGAGCTAAAGTGTGGCCTAAGGGGCCATGACTTTTGAAAAATATCTGTTATTTCCTTCTAGGTTTTCAAAATGCTTATTTCACCTTCTAAGTTTTCAAAAATTTAAATTCATAAGGTACTTCATTTACGATATTAAAAAGCTCAATTCCATAATAGTTAACAACTAAATACGTAATATTAATTAATGGAAGAGTGTCGCTTTTGCACACAAAAACACATGCTTGGATGATTACGNTAAATACGTAATATTAATTAATGGAAGAGTGTCGCTTTTGCACACAAAAACACATGCTTGGATGATTACGATATGACACAATAAAATTGAAAAGATCTAAATTTATTACGAAATCGGATTACAAGTATGACTGGCATTAGGTTTTACAATGGGATCATGCTAAATTAATCTTTATTGGTATAATTTTTTCGTTGTCATTACCATGTTATAAATGACAGAATAAGTGAACATATTTCACAAATTAATTTTGACAATCATATGAAAGTTAATTGTGATAAATTCTATACCATTTAATCTCGGACACTCGAGATAATAAGTTGAATGATCCAGTTAATTAAAAAAATATTTGTTTTGTAATTTTTTCTATTTGAACCCCTTTATGATTAAAATTTGGCTCTGCCCCACTCACTCAAAATTTCAAGAAGAAGAAGACAAAAACTCCTTACCTTCTCCCTCGATGACTGACACGGAAAGTAACATAGTAAATAAATAGTCACCAACAAGTAGTAGAACAAATGGACTTCTCATAATCAATTCTGATAGGTTACATGAAGAATTTAAGTCCAAGAAATATAAATCCAAAAGACAAGAATCTTGAGGTAAATATAGTAAATATAGAATCATGAAGAATTATATATATATATATAATTTGGCCTCAAAAAGTAATAACTTTATCTTTAGAAATTGTCACTTCCATGATTTTTTCGGTTATAACTTCTACCTCAAAAAAATATAACTTAATATAAAAAAATTGTAAATATCATCACAATACCAAAATTGGTACAGTAGTCTTCCCCTGGTTCTATATTATTTTGTATGTCAGCTCAGCAATCAAGTAGAGGATAACGAAAATCACTTGTCAGTGGCTTTAGTGCCATGGTAATCCAATTATATTCTACAAGCTGGATAGCGATGAAATTGCTATCCATTCATGTTATGTAGCATGGACAAAGTGGTACACCTCCGCAGTATGCACAGAAGAAATCAGATTTAAGCAGTA